TAGTGTTGGGAAAAATCGGATGATTTTAATCCTCGAGTATTTATCCTCGAGGATTCCAATAATCGGATGATCATCCGAGGAATCCTCGGTCATAAAATTTTCTCTGTATAATATCCCGATTGATACCTGAATCAACTGAATAATGCTCGGTGCTGGGGTGATCTGCTTGCTGTTTTTAACACACTGTTGTCATGTACCTGAATAACTTGAATAATATTGTAATAAAAATAAATAATTATTTTAAACACTTTTTTAATAATTTTTAATATTTTCGTGTATAATTTGATGTGGGAAATAACATTTTAGGGGTTCGCTTTAAATTGTGCTGTTTTTGTTTAACTCCGACTTTGAGATTAATCGGCAACCTTTCAGGCCAAATGTAAACAAGTAATTCTAGGAAATACGGGCGGCTTTTTTAGAAGGGTCTGTTATTTATTGTTTATTTGTCGGCGGTAGGTCAGTGAGATAAAAAATATATTTTGTTTTACTTTTTAATAGCGTATTGTCACCGAAAATAAACTGTAGTACGTAGTACCTAATAAACTGTGGTAGTTGTGTTATCGTGCATATTTTAAGTTTCCGTGCGGCATAATGTCCAGTTTTAAAAAATCAATTGTTTGGGACTATTTTAAAAAAAATGAAGATAAAAGTGCATCATGCTCCATTTGCAAAAAGACTTTAAAAATCTTCGGAGGCACAACAAATTTAATGCAGCATTTGAAAAGGCTTCATCCGCTCCAAATACAGAAAGAAAATTTACCTCCAAATGAAGCTATGGAAGTTGATGAGGTTCGAGATACTCCTGCGGCTACAAACAATTTGCCGTCCTGCAGCAAAACTTCATCGAGTACCTTGCCGTCAAGTAATATTTCATCCGAAAGTTTACCATCCTGTAGCAAAAGTGTTGTTACGTCGAATATTAGTGGACGCCGCTCTAAGCAAATGAAATTATACGCTTCAAGTAACGAACTTTCCAGAGCAAAAATTGCCGAAATCGAAAAAAAATTGTTATTGATGATTGTCTCGGATTTTCAACCTCTTTCGATTGTGGAAAATACTGGATTTTTACAGTACACTAAAGCCTTGAATCCGTTGTATAGCCCTCCCAATAGGAAAATATTAGCTAATGAAATATTACCTAAGGCTTACAACGAATCAGCTGTCGCTTTAAAAACCATTTTAAATGAAATAAAATATACAGCAATAACTACAGACATGTGGACATCTGATAATAATATTGGGTATATTACCGTAACATGTCATTACATATGGGATAGCATACTCTTTTCACGTGTGTTAGCGACACAAGATGCCACGCTGATTATGTCAACACCCAGCCACACAAGCAAAAACTTAGCCGAAGCTATAACAACAATATTAAATGAATGGAATGTTTATAACAAAACTGCGACTGTCGTTTCTGATAATGCCGCAAACATTAAATGTGCGATAAATGATCACCTGAAAATGCACCATCATCCCTGTGTTGCACACACGCTAAATCTTAGTGTAAATGAGGCGCTAAAAGACTCTGCTTTGATGGAGCTTCTGAAAAAATGTAAGTCAATTGTTGGTTACTTTAAACATAGTGTACAAGGTTCTGAAAAACTTAAATTAACACAACAACAAATGGGCCTTCCAATTTTAAAAGTTAAGCAAGATGTTGCCACTCGGTGGAATTCTTGTCTTCATATGTTAAGAAGACTACTTGAAATTAAAGATGCTCTTTCCGTTGCCATGGCTAGCCTTCCAAATGCACCTGATATTTTGAGTGCCAATGAATGGAAAGTATTAGAGGACTGCGTTCAAGTGCTAAAACCAGCAGAAGACATGTCCACTACTTTGTCTGCTGAGAAATATCCAACATTATCTTTAGTGATTCCATTGTTCCATGGATTTGAATATACTATAAAACAAACTACTCCCAGCACTGAAATTGGAAAATCGTTACAACTGAAGATTTTGGAAGTTGTCACACGAAGACTTGGTGGTTATGAAAGTAACAAAACTGTCGCCAAGTCTACGTTTTTGGACCCCAGATTTAAAAAAATTGGATTTGGTTCAGAGGACAATGCAAACAACGCTCAAAAGTGGATTACGGAAGAACTATCGCAAAACATATTAAGCAATCAAACTATGGCTCACAGCACATTGGAATCTGCTAACTCAGAAAGTCTAAATCTGCATGCATCAACTGAAGGCATATGGGCACACTTCGATAGTAAGGTTACGAATATTAAAAGCCATTCAACGCCTGGAAGCCTATTAATTTTAATGGTGAGACAGTACCTTGAAATGCAACCACTTCCAAGAACTGAAAATCCCTTAGAATGGTGGCGTCGTTACAAAACAACCTTACCCGAAATGTATGATCTGGCTACCAAATATCTTTGCATCCCGGCAACTTCAGTTCCATCGGAAAGGAATTTTTCTAAAGCTGGCCAGCTCACGTGTTCGAGAAGAAATAGACTTGGTTCCAAAAATGTTGATAAAATTATTTTTCTGAATTCTGCTTTATCAAGTTAAATAAGTATTTTTTGTATTAATGAATAAGCAATATATATGTATGTTATAAATAAATATCTAAAGTATCCATGAGTATTCATATTATTTCTTAGAATTTTGTATTTAAAAAAATAATAATTAATGTTTTCTGTTGGAAAAAGCAGGTTAATACTCTGAAACCCGATTATTATTGTTATACGAACAAGTATTTAATTTAAACAGTCATCCTCTATCCCAAAAAAAAACATAAATATAATATTAAATGTAGCTTAAATCATATATTATAATTTCGATTTTACTTTCATCAGAATATAGTCTCCCAACGTACAACTACAAGCAAACTTTTTTACAAGAAAACACGTAAAATAAAACTTAAAAATGTAAATAAAGCAAAAATTCCAAAGCCTTAACCCAAATAAACAACTGTGGTTTTGTCTAATGGAATTTTGACAGTCGAAAACTGACATTATATTATGAATTTTTATTTCCGAATTATTACACAAAAACATTATATCAATAATTAAAAATCTATAAATCTTTTAAAAAAGTATGGAGAAAAAATCTTTATCGTTTAAAGAAATATTATAATTAATATATCCCATCTAAACTAAACAAAACAAAAATAAGTAATGTATTTCTGTTCAAAAATGCAGGTTACTACTCTGAAAACCGATTATTATTGCGAACGATATACGAGCAAGTGATTAAAATTAAAAGGTTAACCTCTATGTAAAAGGTTTCAGCAGCGAGACGGTACGCCACACCCGATGCTAGCTGCGTGCCGAATAATCATCGACTAACGACAGAAAAAGGTTTCAGCATAAATCGTAAATCGCCTGTACCTCTCGCGAGCAGCGAGGACGGTACGCTACACCCGATGTTAGCTGCGTGCCGAGTAATCATCGATTAACGACACAAAAAGGTTTCAGCATATCGTAAATCGCCTGTATCGTCGCGAGCAGCGAGGTCGGTACGCCACACTCGATGTTGTTGCGGGCCGCCGAGTAATCCTCGAGGATCGACAAAAATGCTCGAGACATACCGAGGATATGAATACTCGGATGACCGAGTATTTTTCACTCGAGTGATCCCATCACTAGCCTGGATGTCTTTTTTTAGGTCACAATTGCCCCTCACATACGTCAGAATTTATTATTAAATCCATCTTGTTCAGAATATCCAATATTTTATTGAAGAACTATACAAAAAACAGGAATGACGTTATAAAAAGGTATTTAGTTTTTTTTCTATATAAAATCTTGTAACACATATTATATTTTTTAGTTATCCTCACGTATTATAGTTTAAATTTATTCCCATTTATGTAATGCTGCAAAACAGGAAAAATATTCCATATTTTTTGACCCAAGTCAGTGTAGTTTACACCAAGAGCATTTACCAAGGCTTTTACTAAGACAAGTAACTTCCTATACTGTCCATAATATTATATATTTATCAAACGTGCAGTAAATTCTAAACTATGGTAAGTAAGTGTTTGCAATTGAAAATATTTAGTTTATATTGCTATTTTCTGTCATATATTTCTGGTTATTTCTTTTTCCGATGATTTTGAACACCCTATATATGCTACCTCAAGTTTGAATATTTTAACACTATCTATTTTCTTAGAAAGCAGACCTATTTTTAAAAAGTAACTAACTGATGTTTTCATAAAAGTAATAATACAAAAAATTCCATACTTATGTAGAGAACTTTAGACTCCCTGTATATTAAAAAAATAGTGAAATATTACGTAATGTAACCAGACATTTGTGTGAAAAATGTTTAATTTGGAAATAAAACAGGTTTTAAAATACGGAAAAGGTTGAATCGCCTTGTGTGGAGGTGGTGGTGTGACGTATTAAAGGGTGTGACGTATTAAAAATAAGTGCGTATTTTTATTCTGGGCTTTTTTGTTTTTATTTATTTTCTTAAGAACGACTTCAAATTTTTCGAAAGTGAGATAGCCGAAAATTCTAGAATTAATTGCTTTATTCAATTATGCTAATTCCAAAATATACTGAAAGAGCCCATTACATATTTTTGTACAGAATTGAACGCTCTACGAAAAAAGTCTCTTACAATTTTTCGATAAACCTACTCCTTCAAAAATTATTCCTATCATTTAAGTACAGCTGATTTATTTTAATAAACAATGTTGTTTAAAATAAATCATCAAAAAAAAATAATTTTAAAATTATTATATATAAAACTTGTATAACAAAAAAAAATAATGAAGCTGTTTCAAATTAATTTTGTCACATTTATTTATCAACATAGAAATGACCACTGATGATGACTTCAAAAGGTCATCACCTTCCAGGAAATTTGAATATTATGAATTATTTCAGGCCCTTCCAAATTAAAATTTAACCTAAAAGGACCTCTAAGCGAGAAAGGGTGAACCTTCCTTTTGATTTCGAAGATATTTATGTTTAAAATTTAATAATTGTATAGTAGGGTTAGGGTTAGGGGATCCCTTTAAAAGTTTTAAGAAATGTTTTGAATATTTAAACAAACAAATGAGAAGAAATAACGAGGCTTTAAATAGAAAGGGATATGAAGGGATTAAAGTTCCAGAAGGGGTAAAAGAAATTCTAATATATGCTTTAAAGAAGGTTGTTAATGTTTGATAGTATAAAATTGAAGATAAATTTAATAAATGCATTAGGTTATTATGGGTTAAAAAATCTAAACTGTCTTTTTTCATCAAAAAATCTCAATTCTCTACAAGTATGAGCTCTTAATTTTAATAGGAAGAGTCTCCGCTTTTTAGTTTTCTATTTTTTCCTTTTTATTTAGAAAGAAAAATTCATATCTATGTATCGACTATTTGGAAACGAATAATTCCAATCTATTTTATGAGTTTTGGAAAAATTTGTACAAATTTGAGTTTCTATGAACGAAGAAATGTTTTAAACTTAACTTAAGAGATAATAATTCATTAAATTTCGAGTAAATAACGTTTTTGTGATGAATTTATTATAAAAAGTATTGATCTAGAAGAAAAAAATATAATTGGATTGGAATTGTTCGAATTATTAACCAAAAACTTTTAAAATTATTGTGCATTGAAGTTTAACGATGAATATCTTTTAAACGGTTAATTTAATCGACTAATCATAAGAAACCATTTTTGTAGAGCAGTGAATTTCCTACAAAACCGTGAGTTGCGAGTTTCACAATGATTTTTTGTTAAAGAGTTATAAAATTCTTAAGAAAAAAGGAATATGCCTTAAAATAATCAAGATTCAACCTTTAATAACTTGCAAACGGTGAGGTTTACGAAAAAATTGTAAGAGACATTTTTTGTAGAGAATTGAATTTCCTACAAACATGTGAGTCGAAATATTTTTTCAAATAGTAGATACCGAGATATGAATTTTTCTTTCTAATATTACGGAAAAAATATAAAACTAAAATCTGTCTTATGCTACAAGTATAGAAAAAAATCTGAAAACTATACATCTGTAATTAAATCATTAAAAATATAGCCTTTAGAAATTTTTCCACCCATATTTCTTTTAACAAAATTTTGGTCTTTAATTTTCCGTAGTGCCATATTGCTCAATCAACACAGTCCCTTTTGTTGGTTAAGCTAATTGGACTCCTAGCTACGTCCAGCGTTAAAATGTATGAAGTGAGGACTGTGAAAGCGCTAAGTTAAACTTTGGAAAATGGCGGAAACTATATTTGGAAAGGCGAGAAACAATTACCATTCATTAATGTTTCTGCCAGGACATTTTTGAACAATTCAAATATTTCAGTTGATTTTTTTTAACTCTGTACAGTAGAGTATTCAAAAGAAGAGAAAACATATTTTACCCTCTTACAAAAATATCTTGTTTAGAAATCGTTTCCCGAGATTTTTTAATTAGAAATTTTTGTGCCTTCTAATATACAGGGTGGTCCGAACTGCATTCCGGAAACTTCGGAAGCATATTATGCAAATAAAAATAAATAAAAAATTTCGTATGAATAAAAAAGGTCTCTTGGTAAAAATCGCTACGAGTAATGGTTCTCGAGATATTTGAAATCGAAATTATCAATACCTGTCATGTCAATACCTGTCATCATTGACATAAATTAAACATGTTGATTAAATACCGTATGATCGAGAAAAAACGGCGTCAACGATGGCTATGAAAAGAAAATGGCTGTCATTTCATATGTAAATCTATATGGGAAATGTCATCGATCGTCATTTCCCAGCCAACTGGACGCCAACCTTGGTGTGTTGTTTGATGAGAAATTAAGAGTTACAAATCACGTGCAGAATCTAGTCAAACAATCTTACATAAACTTAAAATTCTTGTATAGCAATAAAAGTATATTATCCCGTCAAATGCGTGAAAATTTATGTCTATGTTGTTTTGTTACGTAATAATGAAAAAGCTTTCAAATTTTCCCTTAAAACCTTATTGTATTCTGACAGTTCTAACACTCCCTGATGGTTACTTCACCGTAATATTATATAAATTGATTTAAAAATTAATTTTGTAAAATGGATTAATTTGATTATATTATACATATTGTATTGTTATTTCTATTTATCATTTATTGTAATTAATTTTTTAATTTATATATGGGTTAAGTGGAGTGAGACTTCGCTCATTTAGCAAATAAAGACAATTTATTATACATTATTATTATTTTTTCGATCATACGGTAGTTATTAGTTATTATTGGATTGAAATCATAATTTTGAAGTTCAAAGATCAACAGAAACTGTTTTAACATCATTTTTTCGAAGGAAAATTTATGACTAATTTAAAAAAATAAAAAATTCCCAAATTTATCATTTCAGTCAAATAACTATCTACCAACATGTTTATTTTCTGTCAATAATGACATGTATTGACTCTTTCCATTCTAAATATCTTGAGAACGGTTGCTCGTAGCGATTTTTACTAAGAGACATTTTTTACGTAAAAAATCACGGACATTACGTAAAAAATCACGGACAAAACGAAAAGTTATTACTATTCAAACAGTTTAAAAACATGTAGGTGCCGTCTCCT